CTGAGTCAGTCCGGGTCACGTCGAAACCCTTTAATTTTATGGTTGGTGGTCGTTTGGAGTGTAGTCAGGATGAGTGGAGCACAATAACAATGTGTTTGGTGAACCAAAACAGTGCCCACAGCTATCACTCTATCATCTAATGACGGCTTTGGTTAATGATAACTGCACGAGAACCAAGCGAAACAGTAATTAGGGGTTGATGAAGGCATGCACAGCCTCACCTGGTCTTCCCTGTAGTTGTATATAAAGTGGCCTGAGAGGACAGAGTGCAGATGTGAGAGGACGGACGAGATGTGAGGTGCAAACTGCTGGAAATTGCAAAGGATCTGTTCAAAAGCAGTCTCCATTCATAGAAAAGGTAGGATGAAATGCATGCTCTGTAGTCAGCACGAGTCTGCAGAGAAAGCCTGTTGAAACCAGATCAGAGATCTGAGAGCTTGTTTATGTTTTTAGATTTGTCACAAGTCTGATAAGTACAGTTATTGGACTAATAAGGGTGCTGATATTGAATGTAATTTTGCTATTTAGTGACACAACCCTCCTTATTTATCCAGGTTTGGGACTGGCAGTCGTTACTTTTGTTATTTAAAGACCTGAATATTGATTTTATGGAAACACACATGGCATGGCAGCATTTAATACCAAGTGTTCTTATCATCATTTTGTTGGGCAACATGAATGAAATCACTGCCTGTTAATCATTGAAATCTCTAAAAAAACTGTCTCTGTACGATCTCTTCGACTTCAGAGTGCAGAGTTTTCTTTCCCCGAAGAGCATCGGTAAGAAATACGGATTCTTAGAAGCAACTTTATTTGTTCTGGCTGCAATATAAAAATAACTTTATTGCTCTGTAAGCCTCTTTATATGATCCTAAAACAGAGCACTTTGTACTTTTTTGTTGTTTTTTTTGTTTTTTTTTACCTTATGTCAGTTTTTCAAATAGATGAAGCCTAAGTTTGAATTCATTTTTAAAATTCTTTTTTATATTTATCCTTTATTATCAGAGTTTAAACGCCTGAACATAGTTAAACGTTTGTCATTCGCTGGTACGTCAGGTGTTAATGACGGAGCTGTGATACTGATGAATGTGTTCTCGTCCACAGACGGCATTTATGGCAGCTTTACCTGCTTCACACTGGCCAAAGTTTTATTTCTCCTTGTAAAATCTCCCTTCAGTAGACCTACCCCAGTTTGTGATCAGTAATATAACACCAACGCCATCCCTTTCATGTGAATGTGTTAATATCTAGCCTGATAAACGCTGTGTTGACTTATTACTTCTCTGTACAGATTTGTGATCTTCCCCAGCTGAAAGTAAGGATAAGAATTGTTACGAGTGACTGCAATTATGCTGTTTGATTTTATTTTTGGAAAGACACAAAGTACTTCTTACTTAATCTTACAGTTTCAGGCGCCTCTTTTATTCACTGCTTTGTTTGGTTTAATCCCCCTGTGCTCTTCTTTTGTTTCGTTTTGTTAAGAAATTCCACTTTTCTTCTTCTTTTTTTCTTACACCTACTTGTTTCTTGAGATCTGCCTCTTCAGACTACCCTTTTAAAACTTTCTGGTGCCAAATGACGACATCTATGCTCCTTGTACGGAGCCTCATGGTGCCGGCTTATTTAAAAAGGCGAAATGCGAGCAGAAAGTTTCTTTCTGTGCTTTTATGATGGATGGTTTTGTTTGTGGATTAGCTCATCAGTATGCATCACCCTAATTACTCACAAATTTATTAAAAGGATGCGTGGGTTTGGAGTGGTCATGGTTTGTTTGGTTAAACTAATCCATGGAAAGCAGTTATTCATGTTGTTTTTGAGGCTGGTGGTAAAGTGTCAGCCAGAAGTCCTGTGAGACCTGTAACCCACCGCTGACTTCATTTCTGCCTTGTCAGCACACGAAGTTGGTGATGACGAGGGAAACTGGTCACCGAGCGGTGTTTACACGTGGGTGCAGTAGCCGTGAGATGTGACCGTAGTGCAGAAAACACTGGTAATAATGGTTAATCACCACAAGTGCTCTGATACCGCGGTGACCTCAGCCTCCGAGTTCACGGCTTTCTCTGGCTGCAGTATTCTCATGCTTGCTCGTGGATGGCTACCTGATCTGTAACGGAAACCTGATTTGTCTTGTGTGTCCTTCCTGTCAGCGCTTCAGTTTGACGGGATTCATTTTCATGCCAGTGTTAGATTAGATTTCCTCTTCATTGGTATTTCATATTATAGAGAAATATAATCCTTGTATTTATACTTATTGGTATAAAGATGTTTTCCTTGAATTTACTGTTAAAGTGGTGTATTTAAATGCCAGTTACACTTATTTTGAAAATGGGAACAAATCTTCAAGAATACATACTAATAAAAAAAAATGTATCACTGAAATGATAAGTGAACATTATATGTTTACTTATTTGGGGGGTTGAGTTTGGATCAGGGAGAGATTATCCTGTCATGATGGGAGACTAAAAAGACAAAGTCAGACAAACAGGTGACGTCTTGAGACATCCAAGGTCCCCTGCGTGCTGTCGGGATTGGTGACTAAGCTTTTTCCCTCCTTCACCCCTGTGCCAGCTCCCATGTAATCATCATGCTTTCCATCCATGGCCTTCACCATCATGTTGAAGAGCTCACGTCTGTGCTGCAGACTGCCAGTCTCGTCTGCCAGCCTTTATCTTATCTGTGCGCACACACACACCACTAAAACGGACATGGTGACATGAGCGTGACCCAACATTCGGGGCACTTGTTTTGATTGGACCTTAGCCATCTGCCAGTGAGGAATGTTTCTGCTCCTTCACTGTTTATCATAGCTCGACTTTTTGGAGCTGCACATCCTCCAGACGCTGAGATGCATGTGTATATTTAGTGTGTGTAACCTGGAGATTATCCCAGGCAGGTTTCTAACACAGCAATTATGGTGCTCGTGTTGATATTGACATTTGATAGTTGACGATTTATGTCATCGACTGACTGCAAACATCCTTGTTGCATGTGTGTGGTGCATGCGTGTGTGTGTGAGCGTGTATTTATATCATTGTGGGGACCAAAAATTGGAAGCTTACTATACTTGTGGGGACCAGCAGCACTTACGGGGACCTAAATCAGGGTCCCTGCAAGTTTGAAGGCATTTCTGAGACTCAAAATGTGGTTTTAGTGTAAAGGCTACAGTTAGGTTATGGTTAGGTATATTAGGGTTAGGCATTCATTTTTGATGGTTAGGGTAAGCATTATGCCAATTAGATGTCCTCACAAGATGTGAATACCCGACATGTTGTGTTTGTGTTAAGGAAGATTACATGGCTGGTTCTTAAGTTTCAACATATTAATTGAATGTTAAAGCCTTTCTTCCTGTGTTTGTTGGGTGGTTCATGTGTAACGTAGCAGCAGAGCTTCTAGTCTTCTGGGTTTGGTTGGTGTCTGCCCATTTTCTTTGGTTTTAGAGGAATTAACACATACATATTGGGAAACTTTTGAGTCAGACTTGTTAGGCTGCAAAAAGAACCAGAAAACTGTGATATACTGTCCTGTAGAAAATGCGTCTTGGCTTTTCCCCTCAGTACTGGTCTCTTTAACATGTTCTCCCCTTCTTCTAGACAAACATTTGTCTCGAACATGCCAGTGAATGCGTTTCACCTTTGTGCTTTCACTCTCTAATATAGGCTGACACACCTTGACTCTCTTATAAAAAATAAATGCACAAGATGAGAGAGATATCAGTTTACTTCTGGCAGCTTTCCTTGGTTTTCACAGGGACCACTAACAGCAGTTAAACCACAAGGTGAAGCTTCAAAACAGCTGGCTGTTACTTCATCTCATTCTTAAGATTAGAGGTACTTAAGACCTTTTTATTTAACCAAGCAAATCCTGTTAATATGAGGATGTTTGGCTAAGGCAGTGGCATTATAAAAAGAAATCAAATATCTGCTAGGCTTCTGTCAACTACCTAACACAAACAGTCTGACTTCACTTATATGGACCAGTCATACTTATGTGACCTCCCAAAAACCAGTTTTGACCCATGAAATATGCTGCACCACTTCTATTTTGCACATCAGCGTGCTCAGTTTTAAGCCTTTCTCACAAATAGACTCTACAGATTGCACAACATAGTGTCCACCACACTCTCCCACTGCCTACTGCAGGAAAACCTCAGCTTTAAAAAGTTAGGAGCAAGTATTTGTTGTATTAATTTTAGCTTGACTAATTCATTTTAGTACCATTGTTTACTCTCAGCTTCCCCGTGTGCCTGAACATTAGCAGCCAGCAGGAAAGAGGCCAAGGTTCAGAGCTCCTGCAACTTTAAGGAGGATTGTGCAACAGAGACTTGCAGGGAAGAAAGTTTGAAAAAGTAGTACCTAAAGATGCTTTTGAAGTTTTATTCTATTTCTCTCCTCCACCAACTCCAGAATATGGCCTCATTAGGCCAAGTGGAGGGGAAAATGTGGGAGAGAGGGTCTAATTCACTGGGGAGAAGAGGAGAGTCTTCTCTTTGCCTCCTCAGATCAGAGACCTTTGGAGAGAGACGTAAAGACGGTGCCTGAACTCAAATTGGTTAGTCAACTTTCCCCAGATAAAATAAAACTTTTACTTTTTCAGGTAAGGCTGCATTTTTCCAAAACATCAGTGATGTTTGGAAGTGAGAAATTTCAAAGTGAATCATGCTGATCACTTGCTTGCACGTCAGCCTGCTTTTTCTTAATTAATCTTTTTCAGCGCTGTTTAACGCTTCAGTCTTAAGTAACTGCATAGGTGTCAACAAGAAACACTTCAGTTGCAGAAAAGAAATATTCAGGGTTCGGCTCAGTTCTTGACTTTGTGGATCGAGTGTCAGACAGGAAGAGGACGAATCGATGGATAAGAGAACACACGGTAGATTTGAGCTGGCAGCTGCCATGTCAGGTGTCTTTTTAGTCCTCATGTCTTTTTGTCTACCTCTCCCCATTTGTTTCCTCCTAACCAGTGACTTGTAACCTTCATTTTATCTGTCTCCCTCTCTTCCACAGCCCGCTGCACTCCTGAGGACCCTGCTGCTCTCTCCAGACTCACATTTCTCCCTCCCCACATCTATCTCAGCTCCCAAGTTACCCGTGAGCATTACTCAGCAGGCTGGGAGCCTCAGGGCAGACCGACTGAAACAGCCTCTTTACTCACCGGCTATCATTACGCACCTCTGTAGGAAAAGGTGAGCGCTTCTTTACAACAAAATGAATGGCTGTGTTTATTCAGCCCAGCTTTGCTTGTAGACCTGCAGGGTGCACAGACATGAATAGAGACTCTGTTACAACAGTGGACCCTGTGTGGACATGATCCTATGTGATTGGACTGTCAGAGTTTAAAAAAGTGGAAATCATAAGGGTTTTATATAGTCGAAACACACAGTGTTGGATAAATCCCACCAACACCGATTGAGTAAAGTGTTAAAAGACCAGTAAATCCTATTTCCGGTCGACAGACGGCACATTGGTTGAGATTGTCAGTGATAATCTGTGTGCTATAATTTCCTGTAATTGTCTGTAATTGGGGACTGTGTTTATTCCACTGTTTCCTGTTCTCAGCTTGTGCTTCGTGCTACAAAAGCTCTTTGTGTCACCTTGTGTGTTTGGTGTTTAATTAGAAGTTCCCAGCTTTGCTTCAAGCAGCAGTTATTTTGTATATTATAGAGTGTTTTGGTTCCAGTGTTTCTCCTGCTTTGGATGAGGCTCTGTTACAAGCTCCCAAAATCTTTCAGTTGTCATAATTCAGAAGAGAATCAATCTTGGGCTCAGGAAGACTTCAGTGTGGACATTAAACTTAGGGTCAGGACTTTTTCATAGTGAGCAATCCAAACCACACAGCAGCATATTATTGTTGTAGATCGAATAATACAATAAAAATTAAAGTAATGTCCACGCTGTAGACTGCGCCACTATTTTCCTCCTCTGACACACGAGCAGAAATCAGCTGATTGTGCCTATAGTATGGATAGCCAGGCAGACTAACCATTCCAAGGAATTGGACTACTGGGTTCTCAATTCCCATCCCTACTGACGAGTCTCCCAGTACCTGTTGCCACAATGCTTCACCTTAATAATGCAATTAGCCCGGTAATGAGCAGTGCCTGGTTCCCTCCAGACATGATGCCTGGATTCAGGCCAAAGAGTGCAATCTTTGTTTCATCAGAGTGAAGAATTGTTTCTCATGGTCCGAGAGTCCTTCAGGTGCCTTTTGACAAACTCCGGGCAGGCTGTGATGTGGCCTCCCCGATGAAGGCCCGTCTATCTCGATCGCTCAGATTGGCCGGGATTAATAAGATAAACATGAGAAACATCAACCCATATATCACTGTTAGCGTGCTTGTTTTCTATCAGAAAATTGTCAGTATGCGTCAAAATTACTACTACTGTGTTCTGTTACGTACTATCACAATGTTAACACACCTTGTCAGGAAGTCGCATACAGAAACTATGCTGTTGAGACAGTATAGTGAATTTCCAGCAAATAGCGACGCGTGCTTGCACACAAACAGTGATGTGTCCAACAGATATTGATAGTCTGGTATTTCAGGTCCTCAACATGCAATCCAAGTAGTTTCCTAAAAAGCGAGGTAATGCCACATTCTCTTCAGTGATTTCAAAGATTTACTCAAACTTTCTTTTTTGTGGCTTCTGTCCTCCCCACAGATCGACGTCCTGCGTCCACTGAAGAAGACATGCTCATCTGCTGCCCTCATGGCCGTGCCGCTACATCCACCAGCCTCTTTCACTTTGACTTGGCGTTCCTGCTGGCTCTAGCTGTGCTGCTCTGCCAGGTGACGGGTCAGGTGGAGAGTCAGACGCAGTCACCTGCCCAGGTGCTACAGGACTTTCTGTCCCGCTATGGGGACAACAGCACCATCACGGTCCCTCAGCTGCGATCTCTGTTAGCAGCCCTCAGCCAGGGCCAGAGTGAAAGCGACAGCACAGCTGAAACACCAACAACCACACCTCCCCAGTTCAACAGCTCCAAGGTACAAAACCTTTTCATTCTCTCCATTTTAAATTCATATTTTATTTCTGTTGTGGAATAAATATAACAAATAGAAGTTAAAGACTAACATTCGTGCACCTTTGCAGGACTCTGAAGTAGAATCATAAATCCAGTTTTGTCTGGAAGAAACAGGCGCTACTGGTTCCAGATAGCTGAGCTGTTTAGCATATTTCCCATACTTAGTGTCGTGGCTCATTGACTCACTCACTTGTTGATCTGCCTTTGAATAGATTCGCTGTGAGTACTGGTGGCCAAGTATGAACCTTTCCAAAAAAAATAAATGATGGCTAGGACGTCACACGTGAGTCAGGCGTTGGTTTGTGACACTGAAACGTTTCGTTTGTCAATAACCGGCCGAGCTACAAAGAATATTCAGGGTGTTCCACAGTTTGACTTTGCAGCATATTGAGGCATCTGCTCCTTCTACCACGTCACAGATATTAAAGCTTTTTATTATTTTCAGCACCAACTTTTCTTTCCCACCTTTGTAAAATACAGTGTAGCAAACAAATACATGTAAAAATATAAATCTAATGAGCTGGTATTTATTACATGACAATAAATAACATTACAATCTGAGCGATCACTTTATTCACCTAATTTTAATTTTTCACTCACTGTGTTTATTCTGTCTTCCTCTGTTTTTCTGACCCATCTTTTTAAGTCAGGATTAAAGCGACATCTGACACATGCATCCCGAGTCAACGCATGCGCAACTAATCCCAAAAGCTCAGTCTTCTGATTGCATCAAACACTCTGTTCTGAACCGGTTTCTCTACTTCAGCCTTTTCATAATTACAATGAGAGCAGATGTCGTTAAAAAGCTCTGGATCTGAGTGAAAACACCTACTTTAGGTGCTGTCGCCCTCGTGAGTGGCAGTTGTGACGTCACTTTGGGACGCACTTTCCTTGTTTCTCCACCCCTTGATGTTTATGACCTCGGTCATGCGTTGCAGCTCAGTTGAAGACACATTAGTTTCATTGATAGCTCAGATTCTCTGATTATAAAGAGGGAGCTCTGACTTCTATTTGTGTTCCAGCATGAACATGAAGGTTTATTCTGAGTGGCAACACCTGTCTCTGAGCAGGTTCAGCCCGCCTCAGCGTGCCCAGTATAAATGTTACAGTGCTGTGATGACGCAGTCGGTGGAGGCAACAACGAGGCCCAACAAAAAGGATTATTTTAAACCGTTACTTTGTTAACATTAGAGTTGAAAATTTAATCATCATTTTTATTTGGTGAGATGCTGTTTTTTTATTTATTTATTTTATTGGTGACACCAATGTTATGCAATAGTGCCTTCCTGTTAATTTCGTCTAGTCTAGACTCCAAATATGAGTCTTGACAGACTCATTTGTGTTGTGTTTTCAGTCCACATGAAGGTGAAAAGCATGCTAACCTGTCACTGCATCCTGGTTATGTCCTGGCTAATTCACCAACAGTGAGATGTTTGCTTGTGTGGGTCATTTATGGGGATGTTTCCTGTTCCAGTGCTTGCCTGCAGACACACTGGCCATTTACAGCATGAGCGAGGAGTCGCGGCTGGATGGCCGGGGTTTTCAGGAGCTGTGCCCCACCATGCTGCAGCAGCTGGATGCTGGCAGCTGCAGGGCACATAAAGGGGAGGAGCAAAGCAGCGACACCTACCCCAGGCCCTCAGACGCTGAAGGTGAGCACCAACTAAATACTAATATTTAACATATTTGTATGTTTTAATTTCCTCTGTGGAAATTGTACATATGTGTTGATCAAAGTTTACCTTTTGCTCCTTAAAGCCTTTTTCATTGTTTTTCATTGTTATTCAGAAGAGACACATTTGGATTCATCCAAGCAGCATCTCAGACAAAAACAGCATAAATCCAGAAAGTGTTTCTTCTCCAAATATTTTCTTTTTAGCTTCCTCTGCAATCGCTGTATTTCTTTCAAGGTTTTCTGTGCCTCATTGTTCATGTCTGTTGTCAGTTCAAGTATTATCACACACCTTGCAAATCTCAGCTCGAAATTTGTGTGTTTTGTTGCCTGGTGATTTTATGGTGTCCCCGAAGGAGGTGAAAGCCAAAATAAGCACGCACAGTTAGCCAAGAGCTCAGATTGCATTTCTCAGTTTTCTGTAAAAACCAGCACATCTTTCAGAGTCCACAGTCCAGCTTCTCTCAGCGTTTTCAGTATGCAGCACAGATCTCATCCAGGTAAAGACAGTCCAGGCTGGAAAGCTCATCTTTCCTTGGCTGCTGAACCGCTGAAGCTCCGTGCAGGCTGCTGACCGAACACACCCAGCAGGATGTTCTAAGCCTGAGAGCCGCTTTGACGTGCACATCCTGTCAGAAATTCTAGGAAATGCTGAATTCAGTGCAGGCTGCTGTTTAAAGAGAAAAAGAAAAACCTTTGAGTCTTCATGAAGTAAAACTAAATTGGCTCTGGAGTGTGTGGCTGGTATAAAAAGCAAGCTAATCACAGACTTGGAGGTTTTGGTTAAGTCATGTGATGTTTAGTGCTCAAGGCCTCAGGATCATCGGTTCAGAAAAGTCCAAAACATTTGTCGAGCTTCAGCTAAAAGAAAAACGACAGCTTTCTTTATGCAGGCAAAGACTTTGGGCTTGAATCTTGTGCTGTAGCCGGTGTCCTTATTTATTTCATCCTTGACAGGTGAAGAAGAAATGGCCCCAGAGCTCTGGCTCCATTTCTCACTCTCCACTGACAAATTTGTTTTCCCTTATCAGGCCCTCATGGCTTCAGCTCACTTCACACTTTCCTCTTTAGGCAGCTTATTTTGGCTTGAGAGATGTTTTCCTAGCTGGAGGTTTACGGGTATCAGAGAGGAAATTTAATAACCTTTTCTTTTCTCATTATGTGAATAATCCAGCTTTACCCAAGGACTCACATTAGCACTGATATGCTGCTAATAGACATAAAATAATGATCCTTTTTTAACCAGATACTTGTTTTAATGATGTTTGATGACATTCTCTTTATTCTGCTGCTTATGTTCTTAACCGCGTGTCCAGCAGCTGTGTTTAAATGGTTTTTGACTCGTCTGCACGGCTCTTGTACACCGTGAACATTTCTCAATAGATTGATGATTTTTCCAGAAGTCTTGAGCCTCTTTTGAAAGAAACACTCTAGACAGCAGTAATGGAGACAGTTTGCAAACATGGAATTTGCAGGTTACTCACCAGCCACTTTGGTGTGTACTCCATCTCAACTCGTTAGAACCAACCATCAGAGTAGGAAAGGTGATTTAGGTGACTGAGAGGAAAAATATCCAAAAAAGAGAAAATATGAAGTGAGTGGCACGTCTATGGGAAGAAATGTTTTGTTGATACCAGAAATCAGAGAGTGGCCACACAGCTTAGAGCTGAAAGTAAGTCAACAGTAACTCAAATAACCACTGGTTGCAACCAAGGTATGCAGAAAAGCATCTATAAACGCACAACATGTTGATCCTTGAAGCGGATGCACTACAGCAGCAGAAGACAACATCAGGTGTTGTTCCTGTCAGCTCAGTCCAGGAAACTGAGGCTGCAGTTCACAGGTATCATCAAAACTAGTTGTTTGGGGCATATTTTCTCACTTTGTTCTCCTTAGTACCAAAGGAGCATTGGTTAAACACAACAGCCAACCCGAGTATTGTCGCTGACCTCGTCCAACCCTTTTAATAAAAGATTCCAAGAGGACAGTTTTCCGGTTCACAACATCAGATCCTCTCAGACTGGTTTCTTGAACATGACCGTTCACTGTGCTCAGATGGCCTCCACAGTCACCTGACCTCCGCACCTTTGGGGATGTGCTGGAACAGCGGATTGACATCACTGTGTGATATTATCATGTCGTTATGATCTCAATCTCAGAGAAATGTTTTCAGCATCCTGTGAATCTGTGGCATGAAGCGTTAAGGGCAACGCTGACGGGAAAATGGGACCCAACCCAGCACTAGAAGATGTACCTAATAAAGTGTCGGGTATGTGAGACCACAAGACGCAAAACTTAGCAGGGATGCGAAGTCAGCAAATCAATTTCCCATTGGAGACAATAAAGTTACCATTGAACATAAGAACCAATATCAAGTCAGTGATGGGAATGTTGGTGTTTCTTGTTTTTCTGTACCAGAGCTACTGTAGGTCCATTAGCTGCTGGAAACACTAAATAATAATGATGAAATAAAAAACAGTGGTGCCAAATAGTGGGGAAACAAACAGAGTTTTGCTATTGAGTCAGAAACCACAGAGTGTTTCACCATAGTTTCATCAGAAAGCGGAAACGATTCAAACTCATCTAAACGGCTCAAAGACATCTGGCTCTATATTCTCTAAAATTCTGTTTGACTTTCTGATGTCATTAAAATGTTTAGGATAAAGTTCCCATGGTTCATAGCTGAGCTGGATGCTGTTATTGGGAAACTACTGTCACAGCTTCTGATCTGCATGCAGCAGATTTTCTTTGAGGAAATACTTTTTGAAATATGACCTGATTATCCTTTCTTTTGTATCCAGTTTAGCAACATGACGGGATGCTGATTTCCATTTTTTACCATTTCTGATCTGATACAATCTCACGTTTTTCTCCCCTTTGTGCATTTTTTTTACATTATTAAATATCTCTTTTCCTCAGCTGTACTCATCTCCCTTCATCACCATTGTTGCTCATCTGTTTACTTGTTTTTTCCTCAGCAAGAAGTTGAGAAGTTGTCTCACAGCATCCAAAAATTTGTTTTGCAGGATATGGAAAATCTAACCAATGGCTACTTCCTTTTATTCTTTTTACAGGTGTTGCTGGATATATTTAACTGTAGTGTACATCACATTTATGTGTGTGAGCACTTCAACTACTTCATGTACTTAAATAGTTTTATTTGACTGCTTTCTAGAGTCCAGGTGGAGTAAAGCTGCAGCGTATCACAATATAATTACTAAAACTAAAGAAGGGAACAAAGTGGATTAAACTGCAGGATTTATGTGGTGCATGCTTCTAGCTGATTTAGCTGTCTGTGCAGCCTGTTTTTCTCCTGATCAGAAAATCTGTCAACACAAGTTTGAGCATTGATTTTAACCCCATGAAAATATAAGAACAGTTTAATTGAGTACTTAAAAATCAATAAGCTGCAGCTGCATACAGTCATATGAAAAATAAAATGCATCTGCTTTTAGCTCTCTTGGTTTTACGTATCAGGTCAATGTCAATCAATAACACGCGACATATTATACTGTCATATTTTTATCTGACAAAACAGTCAAATCCAAAAGCAGCGAGTGGAAGATCTAAATGCACCCAGTGATTCAGTAGCTTGGAGGAGCACCTTTAAACAGCAATACCTTGAAGTAATGGTTTCATCACTCTCTCACAGGACTTTTGGCCACTTTTCTTTACAACGTTGCTTCATCTCATTGATGTTTGCACGCGTTGTTCTTTAAGATCGCTGATGGTGTTTTTTAACGCCCACCTGAACGCTCCAAACCAGCAAACTGCCAAAAAGTCTGGTTGTATCGAGCTGGTTAAACTGGCTGATGAACAAGTAATCGTGTGCCTTTGAATAGCAGCACCTGGCTGCAGGAAGCAGGAAGGGGTTTTAAAAAACTGTTAAAGAAATAACGACAGTGTAATATGTCGTGCGTCGAGCATTTGAGGCTGTATTTAAATGACTGGAAGACCTTCTAAGGATCAGATTTCTTTTTTTTCAATTATATGTATACTTAAACCTTAAAACTGAAAGATGGTGTTATTTCTTTCATATGACTGTTTGATACCAGATTTGAACTGACATCAAATAGGCTGATGCTATCATATGGATTTGTTGGAATAATGAGAATTTACTTTTTCACCTCTGCAGTGATGGAAAATCTACTGCCGTTGGCATGAACGTCAAAGTAGCTGCTGATCTTGCAGACATAAGACACTCACACAACAGTTTTCTCACATCCAACACCCGGAGCCCACATGATGTTTTTGTTGTTGTTTTTAATGCTTGACCTGTATGATTGAATCTGGCTGACGTTATCTTTTATCCACAGCTTGAGCTGCATTTCTAGATGGATGACTGCACGTTATTCACAGCGCTTTGTTTTAACGTTGTACCTTCCTGTTACTCCAACTCCAGTTTGGGGTTTTTCTTTCTTAAGTGTGACAATCATCAATGTCTCCGCCCTGACCGGAGTTTTCATCGTGCCCCTGATGAAGTCGCGCTTTGGGAAATACGCACTCACCTATTTCATCGCGCTTGCCATTGGCACGCTGTTCTCCACTGCCATCCTGCAGCTGCTGCCAGAGGTTTGACATCGGGACATGCATACATGCAGACCTTTGACTTTCATGCACTCATACAAAGATTACGCTCTGCTTCGTTCATGGCATTGCCATCAAAAATCAATCAGTGCTTTCCACCCGACCCTCTCATAATGAGCTGGTGTAATTCAGCAAATGCTTATAGTACTGTAATTAATGCTTTTCATGGCTTCATTAAAAATACCAAAAAACAGCTGATTGTGAGGGGGTTTGGTAGGAAACTTGGAAACGGTCTGACCTGCCTCTGACCTGCCGTCATTTACAAAATTGCGGCACTTTGGCCGAACTCGCCATTGTCTCTCCTGTGTTCATAACTCTTTCCTGTTCCTGACTTTGTTTCCTTTCTGTGGCTTTCTCGGGCCCTGTGGAATTTGCTCTGATCTGATGTGCTCTGGTGTGTGTGTGTGTGTGTGTGTGTGTGTACCTAGCTCTCCTGGTACTGAGATGTAGGCCACCTATGTTGTTTAACTGAGGAGAGAATTTCTGTTCTGATGCTAGAAAGGCTGTACAGACCTGAAACATGGTTTTAGTCACTGTTTGGGGGGGTCATGTGTTTCACTGTGTGTAACAGAGCCCTGGGAAATGGAGCACTGCACCCTTAAAGTGTCCTTCAAACTGAAATGTGACCCCTTGTTAGCATTGCTCCTTCTGCTACGAGTGGGCTATTTAAAGTTCGTTTGCCCCCTTTTGTCTCTGCAGTGTTTAGCCTGAGGCTATGACAGTGGTACAGACACACCTGAGTAGATCATAACAACCGTGTGTGGGCCCCATCTTTGTGAGGACAGAAAATTGGCATGCCGCTGTACTCGTGGGGACAAAAACCCACAAGTTTGAAGGCAGGTTTGAGGCTCAAAATGTGGTTTTAGTGTCAGGGTTACGGTTAGGTTATGGTTCGGGTTTAGGCTGAGGGTTATGGTTAGGAATTTGTTTTTGAAGGTTAGGGTTGGGGTAAGCAGCTAGGGAAAGCATGTCAATTAGATGTCCTCACTAAGATATGAAAACGAGAGTGTGTGTGTGAATGCTTGAGATTGGAGTAAACTATAATGACATCTTCTTTTTATCAGTGGAAATGAGGAACTGGTGATTATCTTCAAATACAAGTAAAAGGTGGTCTCACTTCAGCTGTTTTCAGCGGATTATCGGCTCGCTGTTCCTGAAAATCCTTTCATGTCTCTTTTTTCTCAGGATGATTTCATTTAATTGTTCCTTTCCAGGGAGTTAACTGCTTGGTCTTCCCCCCTTTTTTAAAACTCATGAACTCGGTTAACACACTGGTCATTAATCCGACAAGATTATTTCCAAACTGATTACCTCTTTCTCTCTCTCTCTTCTTCCCCCTTCTTTCTCCTCTGTTAATCAGTTTGGGGCTATGGGATCCTATGCGTGACACTGATCTCTCTGTGCTCGCTGGTCGGGGCGTGCGTCGTGCCCTTCATGAAGAAAACCTTTTACAAGCGACTGCTGCTCTACTTCATAGCCCTGGCCATTGGCACTCTCTACTCCAACGCCCTGTTTCAGCTCATCCCAGAGGTAGTGTTGGTGCTGCTGAGGCTCAGTTCGCTGCAGTGCATTTTTAGCAGGGCTGCTGTATATAAATTTTATTTATAAATATATAAATATAAATAAAAGCATTTGGAAATACAGTTAGGTCCATGTTTGTTTTTTAAATTTAATCTCTGCCCACCCCCACAGTGTATTTCAAGTCAAACATTCAAGAAAAGACTTAAGTGCAGAGGTTCAGGTTTAATTTAAGGGATTTAACAAATAACTGTTTAGACATTTAGGAGTGTCAGATCAACACTCTGCTGTATTCTTAAAAAGTAAGGATGGACTCACCAGCTCAGCAACAGCAAAAGGCCTGAAATACCACAAAAGACAAGAGAAGCAGATGATCACAGAATTATTTCCATGGTTTACAAAAACAACTACATAACTGCGTACAAGAGACTCCTTCATCAACATAAATACAAAAGGCTTCCAGCAAGGTGCAAACCTCTGGTTACACTCACGAGCAGGAGGGCCAGATTACACTTTGCCAGAAAATATCTGAAGGAATCCGAAGAGCTCTGGAATTAAATTCTTTGGACCGATGAAGCCGGAATGGGAAGAGAAAAGTTTGGAGAAGTGTAGCAAATTATATGTCAAGCATGGTGGAGCCATACATGCCCAACAAGCACGGGCATGTATGGCTGCCAGTGGAACTGGGTCACTAGAGTTTTTTCTCAGTTCTGTACCGTGTGCTGGGCTGTACTCTCTGCTCATATTACTAAAAGGTTTCTCCAAAAGTCTCCAAAAAATAATCTATATATTAGATATTCTTCAGTGGACGAGTCAGTCACCTGATCTCAACCCAGTAAGGCAGTTTTCAGTTTCTAGTCCTTACATTTAAAATGTTGTAGTTTTAAGCGGCTACATATAAAAATAACTGTAATTCCTAAACAGTTAATGCTTGAATTAAAGCTGAAACTCTGCATTTAAATCACATTTTGATGAATTTAAAACCACTGTGGTGATGTGCAAGGACAAAATGATAAACTGTCATTGTTCAAATCCTTGTGCACATGTATTTATGTGCATGTACCACTGAACAACAGAATAATCTGCTTTAAAGTTTATAGTCACCATAGACAGCACAAGCATTAAGGAAAATCAAGGTTTTTTGATTGGAAATGACATTAATAGTCTAAATTGTCTTGCAGACATCAATCAGCTGTGAGTCAGTCCTCACTTAAATTCAACTAAATTAATACGATTTTTGCAAGAAACACAAAGGACAGTGATTCAGGGCCTCTGATCCTGATTCAGGCCCTCTGATCCTGATTCAGGCCCTCTGATCCTGATTCAGGCCCTCTGATCCTGATTCAGGCCCTCTGATCCTGATTCGGGGCCCTCTGATCCTGATTCGGGGCCCTCTGATCCTGATTCGGGGCCCTCTGATCCTGATTCGGGGCCCTCTGATCCTGGATCAGGGCCTCTGATCCTGATTCAGGCCCTCTGATCCTGGATCGGGGCCCTCTGATCCTGGATCGGGGCCCTCTGATCCTGATTCGGGGCCCTCTG